CTTGTCCCGGACCCATGGTGTTGCAGAAACCAAGACAAGAAAGTTTTCTCCGTCCTTTTCTCCGTCCTCCTCAAAGTCAAAGTGGCATTGTGTCGGATCCTCAAAGATACTTTCGTCATTCAGAACTTGTAACATGTCAATCTGTTTGGTGCTTGTAGTCACTCTACCCGTGTATGTGGTTCCCTCTTCCGATTCCGCCTCCGCCGGGTTTCTTCGCTCGTTACCATTGTCCCTGTTGCGGATGTGCGCGTCTTTGTAAATCAAGATTCTTATGCGCTGTTTCAGGGGTTAATGATAGTGTTTTGCAAGCGGCACGTTGTCGACTAACCCTTTCTGTGCTGTCTTTTACCAGTGCTTTGTTGATTTGAGCGAGGAGCAGGTCCGATTCTAGAAGCATTAGCTCGAATGCAACAAGCTTAGCGTGAGACTAACCAAGGCCGTGCTGAACCCAAACAAGGCGTATTCTACGAGTGCAACTAAGCGGGTTACGCCTCGCCAAGCCATTGAGGTACGTAAGAATAGGCACAATTCCAAAGCCAGAGGCGACTAGAAACACTGTGCTGTAGCCGTGACAATCTACAGTCTGGCCATGTGGCCCCGTATACATAGCCCAATGCGTACACTCACTGTCACTGTTCTTCGAGCAAACCCAGACACTGCTGCCCGGCTTTACCTCCACGCCGTCTGTGTCGAGTTTCCGCCATAGCCGGCGAGTAAAGCCCTTTCGAGGCTCTATGAGGAACTCCAGCGTGTCCGCTCGAATGGCCGTAGAGGAACTTAATACCGCAAAAGGGTGACTCGACAGCAGTTGCACTCTTGGCACCCAGAGTTGCACATACTGGCCTGGACTGACACGCAACGGTCTAGACAGGCGAACAATGGCATGCACTGAGCGCCCATCTCGCCGAAACGTTGCGGTTGTCCAGTGGCATCCGTGAGCTTTATTCCTGTAGACGACCATGCTAATGTGGACCAAATTGAGGAGGCCAGAAAGAGCACCATAGGCGTAAAGATATCTCGGGTCGAGTCCTGGAAGAGGGAGCAGGTATCTCAAAAAAGTACTGTACCCAACCACCATAGCGAGAAGTTGATGGACTCGAATATAGAGCTCGTACACACTCGAATCAAGGACCCATTCGACAAAAAGCCTCGCGGCTGGCAGAATGATAATTGCTAGGTGAGATGTTACCGCCTGCGTTAGTTAGCAATAAACAACAAGAAGAGAAACCGTGGCAGGCGAGCTACCAGTAACGTATCAAGGTCTAACCGTAGCTCCTTCTTTGCCAAAGTCTGTTCCCACACCTGTGTCGCAACATGAAAAAGAAAAAGCACGGAGCACAAGACGCCACAAGCGCGGTGCAGCGTACGAAAACCCGACAAACCCAGACCAAACAAGTCTGCCAGATACGAAATATTTGGCGATAAGTACAGCGGTATGGCGTTCACCAACGCCAGGTAGGCCGCTCTGATGGAGGCTTCTCGAGCTGATGCCAGCGAAACACGATGCGGAGCATCCTTTTCTACGGATATTGTCAGGCAAATGCAGCACACGTTGGCAGCAATGTAGAGCAAAAAACACAGTGTTGCAGCTATTCCCCACGGGCCAAGCAAGGAGTGGCGTTGAAGGAGAACCCCATACACAAGCCTGTTCCAAACAAGTGATGATGCCGCACGCATGCGCCTACCAGAAGGACGGTGGGCGATGCAAAACAAGGCCACAAGCACCGACGGAAAGGCTATGGCAAATAAGTTGACAATTTCCATAGCCAGCAATGACCGCAAGCATGCTTATCTGGGTAGTGCAGTAGCTAGGCGTTGAGGATTAGTTCATATCGTCGCTGAGTGCTCACATGAGCTTTTTCGACAAGGTCCAGAATCGACTCTTGCCAGAGCTCGTCTTGTTTGGGCTCCGTGAATAGCGCATGCTAAGAACGTCAACCTGGGAAGACTCGAGCTGGCATTGCCTCGTACCTTCCGTAGCGTTTCTGGTGTGAGCTTTGAGTTTTTGGCTTGCACCTCAGAGGCAGTGAGCTCCACGAAACCGATGACTTTCGCGCAGTTGACCCATCGGTGGCCCTCTAACCCCGGACCCTTATTCTTTTGCAGGAGCAAAAAAAGTAGATCTTTGAACGAACATATGTCTTGTCTCAAACGGTCTGAGTCCAAAGCCGTATAACTTCTGCACAGAGCTTCTCGTTGCGTAAGCATCAGAAGGTTGAGGTTAGGATTATCTTACCTAGCTTAACGACCCCTCGTCGATTCACCCAGACAGTGCGTGGGAGCAAATTGCCGTGAGCAAGCTGATGGCTGTTCAAAAACATCAATCCTTCCAGGAGCTAATGAAATTAGTTCAGTCCAATAGTGCAGAGAGAGGCATGTTCCAGAAGTAGCCGTACTTGACCGAGAAGAGATGCTAGCTGAAGCTCGCTCGGGAATTCAAAGCAATTGATGATATGTTCCCACGTAAGGTCCGTATGTTCGAACACTGTATAGGTCTTGTTTGAGTCTGTAAATTTCTTAATTATGGTACAGACATTTTTGTGTTCGAGCTGTTTGCGGATGGTACTTTCAACCTCTTGGTTCGTGACAGCCTGGATAATAACCAGTGTCCGTGGAACGCGTTTCCGTATTGCCACAGATGCTTTCCCTTCCAAATCATTCAGTTTGTATAACTCGGCATATTCATCCCAGGGTTTTCCTGTTTCGGTCGGTTCAGTGGTTGTCGAGCGAGCAGAATCGATGCCGGGGGGTAATCCGCGTGATGGTTTGTTCTTGGACCCCGTGGCCTTTTTAGACGTCACCTTTGGCTCGAGTGGGACGTGCGAAGTAGCATTAATCCCGTTGATGGATGTTGACGCTGTGTATGGTGAATGTTGTGTTGTCCTGGGGTTGAATAGCTGGGTTATTCGATTTGTCGCTGACATGTTTACGCCGCAAGGTAAACTCCGGCAAAACGGGAAACTTTACACTATCTTGCAGACTGCAGTCTCTCAAAGCTGCAGGAGACTCGACCGTTTACGCGGTCGAAACCGGCTTTCTCTTAGGGAGCATTTGATCATGTCTGCGTTTCACTCCGCATATTGTCGTTCTCGAAGCACAAGCTCGATCGAGCGGCAATCGGACTGGCAGCCGCCTCTTTCGGCCGCCCCGGCCCAACCGTCGTAGTCCAAGTTTGAGTGGCTGATGACCACGTATGCATGTCCAACATACAGTACAGTACAGGTAACATCTGTCTGTTTCAAGGATAGGAACTTCAATTCCCACCATGCCATCCAAACGACCAGACCCCACGACCTATCGCCAAGTGACTGCAAAAAAAGACACGGAGACTTACCGCAGAATTCGAGAGCGATACAAAGCTGTTGGCCATGACACAGAGTCATGGCTCATCAACTTTTCCTCAGAGCCTCTGTTTCAAGATCTGTCGTCCAACCATGCCCGGAAGTGTGTGATAAAGTTGCTGAAGAATGAGGAATATGCGAGCCAGCTTGACGGGCTTCTT